TATAATATCAATAATATCATTGTAGAAGAAAAACGATTTTGAGCAGAGACGGTTTGTCAGTCTAGATATTATATATTGTTATTATTAATTATTATATCATGTAAGTCGAATTAATATTATAATATTATTATATCAGATAAACAAAGCGTTAGAAATTAAAATCCCACTATTAGCGGTTTTTTGTAATTTTTTGGTGGTTTTTCCCGTGGCATTAAATAACTATTAAAAAAATCGAAAAATGACCTATTTGAAGTACCATCTTGATCCATTTTGCTAAAAGATAAGGTACTATATGTAGAAATCTAAGCACTCCTTCTGGTAGAATTTTTGTATACGGGATATAAAAAAAAAAAAATAAATAAATAAATACCATTGTAAAACCAATAGCTTCCTCGCTCCGCTCAGAATCTAAAATAGATTGAATATATATTTAAGAAATCACTCATATGAGGTATATATATATTGAGTTAAAAAGTGGGAAAGTACAAGTACCACTCTGGTGTAGGTACAGTAGGCACATTGAGTGGGTTACTATAATAAATGTGATGAATTTGAATTCTATGATAAATCATTGTATACAAAAATTTACCGTGGGCGGAGACGGTCTATATATTATTAAGTGTTCTGGATTATAATTTATTAAATATTTATGTTATGCTACTGTTATAATTTAATTTACCATTAATAATACTTAAGGTTAAATTAATTTTTGAAAAAATTTTGTTTATTATGATTGAATATAATTTCAATATTGTATCATATATCTTATAAACGTCACGGAAACTTGATTTAAATATAGTTGGCGGAGATTTCTTAGGAAAAACCTTGATTTTCTAACAGGTTAGGCCAGGTTATAAAATTATATGAATAAAATTATATTTTGCTTATTCTATAGGGTTATTTCAGCAAAGCTTTGGCAAATTGACTCTTAGAAATTAAAAACTATCTTTTTTTTTTTCCTTTTTATCTATTTTGGGTATTACAAATTAAAAGTACCTATTCAAATGTTAAGTAAGCTGTGATTTTTAAACGCAGCTACACGATTAAATGTAATATTGCATGAAACACGCACAGAAAAATTTAGCTGTCTGTCTGTTATAGTCTGTTTGTCTGGGAAAGGTTTAAAACGAATGAACCGATTTTGACGGGGTTTTAACAGGTATATTTTATTACCTGCTAAATAAAATAGTTATTATGATTGGATATAATTATATATAATAATATTAATCATCCATTATTTCAATATAACATTGTCGTTTTTGTAATTTTTAAATTGTTTATAAATTATAAATATTATACAAATATATACATAAGGTGATTCACTATGCACACTCACCCCCATTTTTTTCTTTAAAAATTAATTTATTCAAATTAAAATATTAGTAATATTTTCTGAGTTTTGAAATTTTTAAACATATATCTACTTCGAAGACAAATTTTTCAAATTCTTGAATTTTTTTTGTACTACTTTAGGAGTATCCTGTGAGCGATACAAACTTTTGTTTTTCAAATGAGAACCCTCATATGTTACTGTAAATTATTTAGTGGATCATTTTTTTGAAAATGTTGATGTACCTAATTCAAAATTTACATGAATAGTTTCTTAGCTATTAAAATGTTTGTATTAAGGATAATAGACCTTAAAAATGGTTTTACAAAAGTATAAAATAAACATAATATTGGATAACTAGTATTTATTTGGTAATAATTTACACTTGAAAAGGGGGAGGGAGGTCTCATTTAAAAAAAATTAGTCTCGTGTTTGTATCTGCACAGGACATTCCTTAAGTAGTACAATAAATCTCAAGAATTTGAAAATATGCTCTTTAAGTATATTTAAAAATATCAAAAATCAGATTTTAAATAACTGCATTATTGAAGAAAAAACTGGGGATGTGTTTGTTGAATCACTCTGAATATATATTAGCTATATAAACTTTTCAAATAACATTCGCTCCGAAATTTGCCAATCAATTTCTTCTTTCCAATAACATAACTTTGATTTCACATTTTTTCACAGATTTCTGCGTAGCTCCGTAGGTATATAGGTATAAAAAAAAATATTTTACTTATAGGTAAGTACTATATAATATCTTTAAATTAGTTGAGTCTAAGTTACTCTTAGCTAACAATCCAAAAACCTTATTCAATATCAGAATGCGTAGTCATTTATTTCAAAAATCATAAAAATATAATATATAATATATATGAGTAGAATTTAGATAGGTAACAAATAATAAATGTACAAATGAACGTTACGTAGTAGACTAGCATTTCATGAGACGATTATATGTGCAGGTGGTGCTTCGTTGTAGACGGACAGAAAAACTATTAACATTGCATTCATTTGACTGTACTCGATCGGGTTCCAAACTTCCACCGGTATTTTATATTTGATCAAAACAACTCAAATAATTGTGTTAAAAATCTTAGCATCTTTATAATATTATATCAATATATCATTGTTATTAACTTTTGAGCAAATACCGATTTAAGATATAGGTTACGTTGTATAAATTGGAAAAAAGCTTAAAAAGTTAAATATAATAATCTAAATATTTTGAAAATAATGACTCCTTATGTATGTAAGATATAGGTATCTAATATATAATATTATGTTTTACGGGGGGCTGGGGGGCTATGGGGGCTGATATGGAACTAAAATAATTTGTTGTAAGTCTTATTATTATTAGCGTTAGACGTTATAAAATTAAAACTATCAAAAATATAGTCATCTGAACACTCGGTATGACGACTTTCCAATAAATTACATGCTTCTTATTTTTATCTTTAGCTACCGACTAGAGATGAAGAGTCTACTGTCAAGTTTTGTAGACTCAAACTATATATTATTATTATACAGTCTGCAACAGTCGACTTTTTCTGTTGTATTTATACCAACGATTGTCAGGTACTAAAAAAATAAATGTCAACGAGCTTATTATTGCAGTTCATCGAAAAAAAGAAGATATTAATTCTCTTTATCACGATGGACATTAGGAATTCTTTGTGCATTTTTTAAGGATTGCAACGCTACAGTTTATTATTTTTATTACGGTGATGACCTTACGAGTGCGATGCAGCCTGAATGTCTCACGTTCTGTTTTCACTTAAACAATCGATATTTTTTTTACTTTCTGAAATGTAATAATCTATAGGAACTATGTTATTTTTTATACAAAATGTATCACTAATACATTTTAGATGCATAATTTGTAATGGGTATACTTATTTAATTTAAATAGCTCATAATTAATAAATAATTATAATAGGTAATAATTATTATAAGTAATGAATAAATTAAGCGAATCTGAAGAGATAGAAAATTAATTTGTAAACTTTCTACGGATGATAATAATAATTTGTCGTTAAAATGAATAAGTAATTCATCATTATTCTCATTCATGATAGCTAATATTATTAATTGTTATTGTACTTAACTCTATAAAATATATTATAATACTCAAAAAATATCAAAGAATTTATTTATTTAAGTTTAAATCAGAGGTATTCAAACTGTTTCATCCCACGGCACCTTTCATGAGTGATAACTGTTAAGTGAATACCTGTATCTTTCTTTTAATATCTTATACATTTCTATATAATATATATAAAAATAATGTATTTTATTAAATTATTGTAAAAAAAAGGCTAAAAGGCTAAAGTCTAAATTATAATTTATTTATTTAATTATGAAGGTTGAGTTTTTATTAGGAATAAATGGAGTGTTAATGGTAAAATAAAAGTGTTCTCTAAATTAGTAGAAGCATAAATGCAATAAGGGGAAAATATACATTCATCACTTTTATATGGCTTGAAACCGATTGAAAAAATTACTGTTTTGGTTTCGATTTGTACACGGGTTTTCAATTTTTTTCGGTTTCAGTTTTTAAACCATTTATACCGGTTTCTAAAATCGGTTTCAAGACACTGACTATTTACGTTCATTCTTAGTTTATTAATTTTTTTGAATCACTGGATCGAGCGTCCGATCGCCTGTTGTGTAAAGTAAACTTTCAAAAATGTCAAGATACAAAGAGTCAAAAAAAAATACCGTTTTTTAAATTATATTTTCGGTTTTTAATTATTATACAGGTATCCAACTTTTTTCGGTTTTGGTTTTGATTTTGTTCTCGGTTTCGGTTTTATAACGGTTTATACTGGTTTCAAGCCCTGCACTATTAACTGAGAGAAAAAGTAAATTGTAAATTAGAGGGGCTTAAAAGTTTTTTGTGACAATGAATAGAAGGAAAGTGAGAAAAAAAGGGGCTCCAAAATCGTAAATACGCCACCGTGTGTCTGACCGTCTAGGTGAACTTTTTTTCTGTATCTAAATTATCTATTTGAAATTGTTGAGTACTTTTGTCTGTTATTAATTATTGTAGTAATATACGTTTTGATATAATTGATAATTCAATATAGGTACTCTTCTGAAAAACATCACAGTTTGAAATCTTTGCATAGGAATTTCAGCAATGTAAATTACCATACAATAATATTATTATATTATGAAATCAATGATCAATATCAACGTCACTGTTAATATACTATAATGTTATAATGACGTGTTAAAGTTATATTTATAACGAAATTATTATGCTCTGATGTCTTTTGTTTTCGTATAGCTGCACAAATATATAATAACTAATAAGTAATAGGTTAACACTATAATAACCTACCGCAATAACGTGTGTATATGTTATTCAACAAATGCTGCTGAAGTATAACTAATGTATTAAATATTATTGTTGTGTTATCAGACCGTCCATCGGTGATGACAATTTATTGTTTTGGCGTCATCATTCGTCGGCGACGACGACGGTGTCGTAATTACAACCGTCGGTGGTGCGCAGAGAATAACAATAAGACGTTAGGCGATCGAACTGACCGTATATAAGGGCCTGACAGACCAACAGTGGTCATCAGTCAATCTACAGTCGTACACATCGTTCGTTGAAAACCCTCAAGACAGCAACAAACCCGTCAAAAACAAAATCACCATGCAATTCCAAGTACGTATTTTATATATTATAATGTTGTATTAAATCCGTACATTTTGTCGTTATACTAAGACTTTGAACCATTTATGATCATCGACAATACTGTCCATATTTTTATTTTTCACGTCATCATTATTTTATACAACGTTATAATATGATATCGTCACTCGTCTTTGACTTTAAAATAATCGTACTAATACATACTGAATTATAGTTATACATAGTGTGTGTGATTATTTTCTTCGTCGCCATCATATTGTTCTATGTGGTTTTAAAATTTTGCCTATTTAGACAGATCACCTTGTTTGAAATGACTATGATTTTAGTCTCAATTGTTGCTGTATTAAACTCCAGAGATTATAGTGGATACTTAGTATTTTCTAGTTTGGGTAAATAAAAAATAAAAACATTGATATGGTGTTACTTAAATATTTTCAATAGCCAATTCATACAGCCGATTTATTTTTAATGCTTATGAGTATGATTTATATTTTTTAATTTCCATTAAGTAAATTATAACAAAATAGTTGGGTATAAGTTTAGACGGTAGGCTGGTAGAAGTGTGTACTTTAGTAATCGAGCCGATATGTAAGTACAATGTACGAGTGATAGAGCTGGATCACCCCATTTGAAACTACATATTCCAATAATGATACCTTTCTCGTTTATTAGTTTATTCAAAATGTGTAATACTTATATTAGTCACACAAATAATAACATTAGGTACCTACAATATTTTATATTTCATAGGTTTAATTTAAAAATTAAATTATATCATTATAATTATAGTATCATATTTTGGGTCTAATCCCCATGGTTTAGATTTTTTCATTCTAAGATCCTTCTCTAGACTAAGACAATCTGATTTATAGGTATAGTGTGCTTGAGTTAGTCCAGTAAAAATTCGCAATACGAGTAATGACGTTATTCTTTTTTGTTAGATTTAAGATTTTATTCTTTCGTTGAAACACTACCATAATATTATAATATTGTATCGTTCCAGGTGTCTTTCGCCCTCATCGCTATGATCGTGTGCTTCGCCGCCGCAGCCGAAGAAGCCAAATCCGCATCTGACAAGTCCGCAGCCACCAAGTCTGCCACTGACAGAAGCAAACGTGGCCTGTACGCTCCACTCATCACCTCCCCGTATGCTCCAGCGTACGCAGCACCATACGCAGCTCCATACACCGCCCCTTACGCTGCCCCGTACGCCGCCCCTTACGCCGCCTCTTATGTCGCCCCTTACGCAGCACCGTACGCCGCCCCATACGTAGCATCCCCTTACGCAGTCGCCGCCCCATACACTTCTTCATACGTATCTTCTTACGGAGCTTACCCATACGGTTATGCAGCTTCACCATACGGTTTCTACTAATCGACGACAACTTCTTCAGGATCGACATAATATTATTATTGTTATTCACCTTTATCATGTCAATTATAGTATATACCGTAATACGAAAACACATAAATATAATTAAATATAATTTTGTATTTGGAAAAAACAGTATACACAGCAGTGCACTGTACCTAACTAATATAGGTACTATTTTCTTGTAGTTTTGTTATTTTGTAAATAAATATATCTTAAAATCATATATTTGTGTTTTGTCTTTTCGATCTCACATACTTTTAATATATTATTATATATCGAAATCAATGATATTGAGATGAAATTAGGTACCAACCCGTACCTGGGTATAGCGTCGACACAGTTTACAAAAAAATCGAAAATGTTGAACCGCTATTAAAATTAATTTTAATGTTTAAATATTAAAATTATAGTGTTTAGATTATGTCTTGAAAATGACATAAAGAATTATAATATGTTCACAATACGTTTTTCATCATGCATATATTATTTACATAATATGCAACTATAGATATACGAGTATAAGACGAGTATAAGAGAAACGTGAATTCAGCTATTGTAGGTACCTACTTTTCACCACCCGAAGGTTCACTGTTTTAATATAAGTACAGTATATACACTATACAACTGTCACCTATATGGCTATATCGTACAGCTACAATGAAATATATTATTATTACTGTCAATGTAAAACCAATGAATCATTATATAGTATTCGACAAATTAATATGTGAAAAATATAGGTTGATGAATCAATTATATAAACAGGTAACAAATGACATTAAATAATTTATATTCAGCGCGTAGATAAACATAATAAATATACATTATACACACAATAGTACAATACTATTTTTTTTTTTTTTTTTTTTTAACTATAGTGTTATGAATTATGTTATTCGTAAGATAATGAGATCAGAAATTAAAGTTAATATAAGTTTATAGAAATTAATATTCTTTTTAGAAAAAAAGATTTTTCGGAACTATATATTGAATTCATCACTATTATAATTTGTATTAATAATTTACGGTAGGTTTATTCAAAAAAAGATTTTGGTACTTATACACTTTTGCGGTATGTTTTCGATTAAAAGGTATAAGGAAAAGATTAATTAATTATTAATTATAAGAAAAATATAAATTGTAGAATATAACGCGTAAACTAATATTTTTTTTTTGTTCATTTATAGAATCAAAACATAATTTACTCTTATTTCTGTACTCTTACGAAAACATATGTTTAGGAATATATAGGTAGAACTGTATACGTGTATAACACTATATGGAAAATGTAATAGTTTGATTAGGTATTTAGCCATTTAGGTACATGAAAGTATAGTTGATAAATAGTTATTAGTTACTTTTGAATTGCACAAACATTTGTATATTTAGATAACTAATAAGTAATAGTAATAATAGCTGCTCATTTCAATTTAACTATGATTCCACTGTCACTAATTTATTTAAAACCCTCTAACCAAATGCATACTGATCTATTGATATAATATAATACTTCCACCATAAATTTGACTTTATTACAAAACCATATAAAATGTATCTTTTTACTTTTATGAATTTGTAATCAATAATCATTTGTTTAGCAGTTATAAGTATAGGATAATTTTTTTTTATTATAAATCCGATTTGTTTAAATGGTTCTTGTACATACCATTCAAACAATTGAAAATAATATTTATCGTAATCAAATTTGATACATTTTTATTTTGTTGGCGACTATAGTGGGGAAATGGAAAGTGAGACATAGGAAAATAATATGTAGGTAGTATACTATATACTTTAGTCACCCAGCTTATATAACATAATTGAATCGAATTTTCGCCCTTTGTGCGTTTTTATTACAATCGTAACATATTATTTTCCTGGCCATTATATGCATAATATTTTTAAATTTTGGTTTTTGCAACAGTTAAATTAAATTAAAATATAATAGCATCATATAAAAAAATTATGTAAATACCTTTTAATAGTCTTTTAAAATTTATTTTTTATATTGTGACCTAAATCTATTAAAAAATCAATTTGGGGAAAATTAAATGAAATTAATACTATAATGTAAATATGTAATAATTATTATGAATCAAATTCATAGATTAAAATGATTAAATATTGAAACAAAATATTATATTATGGATAACAATTCATTCTAAATATTACTATACCCACAGTTAGCATTAATAAATATTTATAAGCCACTAAATTCCAATATAATATATTTATTATTTTAATGAAAAGCAGCACAAAGACTAGGTATCCTAATTTTAAATGTTTGATTACTTGTTTGTAATTTTTAAATATTAAATAATTACATAATAAACACGAAGCGTATTTGTTTCTGTCAATTAAATCTATTACGTAAAAGTGTGAAGTGTACCTATATTTTATTTATTTTTTTTTTTATTTTTTTTTCAAGAAGATAATGGACCCCACTGAACATGTTCATGTAATATACATTACCTATTTATTGACGCTATTGATTATATTATATATTTATAACATTGTGTATTCCCAAAAATCTGTTCGATTATAGTTCAAATAATTGTTCATGTACATTTTTTTTGATGTTCAGAGTTCTTCTTTAAAGCATATTCAAAAAGTAATTCATCTTCTAATATTTCTATCGTGTATTACTATTTTTTGGAATGTAGGTACCTAATAAGTAATAGTACTGTTGAGTTTTAGTACAAAATAATATTTATTTTTACTTGACACCATTTTTGTAAATATACTTTAATAGTAATAAGTACTTATATTTTCTTATATCATCAAAAATAAATCAATATTTGATGTGTCGTGTATAACGTCAAACTGGTGGGTTGATCCTGGAACGACTACCTAATGGCATAACTCATAATAATATTGATAACCTTTGACATGTTTAGATAATTTTTACCTTCAATCAGTACAACTTTATTCTTTCATAATATGATTGTTACCCCGCAGTCGGGAAATAAAGTAAACACTTGTAAACACAAGTTTAATTTTTTTACATTTTTTTAAATGATGTGAAATTATCTTCAATAATCATTAAACTAACCTAGCTAGTTTAAAAATATACAAATACAAAAAATAAAAACTCACAAAAGGTATAGTGTCACTAATGGCTGGCTTATCTTCCCTTAAAAGCTTTAAATGAGGAGCTCTCTCACATTTGCTTATTATTTTAAACAAGAATAGATTGTAAATACCTTATAAAAAATTTTAATTTAAAATTTAAGAATAAAACATTTGGTAAAATAAAAATAATAATTATGTTTGAATTAATTATCATTATTAACTGTAATTTAAATTTAAGTCATACCTAAGTAAAATAAATTATCTAAAAAAAGATCTAGATACCATACTACTGTTGTACCAGTTAACTTGCGAATTAGGCATATCAATAGAAACATTAGAAACAATTTTTTTTTAGAAACTTTGGTTTGTAATTATTTGTTATTTAAAATTAAAGAAATTATGATGAAAATACTTTTTAAAATTTAAATCTTATGAGTTATGACTTGTTACTTTAAAAACATAAATGTATTACATTATGCTTTATAAGTAGGTATGACTGTTTTATAAATTTCAAAAAGAATTACGTAAAATAATGAATGTAAACGTAACAAGACTTCAAAAACCATATAACCCCCAAAAAAGTAGGTCACCATGAATATTTTCAGTTGAGGTAATAAAATTAACACTACCCTAAATAGGGTAAAAATGGTTGAAAATCTAATCAAAATGGATTCAGGTCAGTTCTTGATTACTATGGTTCAATAGTTGCATGACTAGTAGAATTTAAACACCATGCAGCAGGTACTTCAAAAAGTCCTGCTGTACATTATCCACCGACTCACCGACCTGTGTCCTCACGAAAAAAAATTATTTTATTATTCAGAATAGATTTTAATTTCTAATAATATGACTAACGCATTAACATATACATAATATTTGTGTGATTGTATAAAATCCGGTAGGAATAAACTTTTTGGGATCTTAACTTAACTATCATTATAAAAATTGTAACTTATGCCTAATTTTTAACGATTTAAATATTATCACTGATTTTTTAAAAGATTATAGAGATGAAATAGTAAAAATTATTAACTAAATCACTAAGATATAAAATAAATTACTACACTTTCGGATTTACTGACACTTTTGAATATTTTCCTAGAGTGACGCTAAAACTTTAATATTATATTATCGTATTGCAGGTTATATTATCCTTATAATAAATCAAATGTAATTCCTACAATTAATATAATATACCTTAGTGCTTAGACCATTATTATTTTAATGAATACCTATACTTAAAATTTAAAATGTTCTAGTTTTATATTATGTACTTACTCAAATAAATGAAAAATAAGCATTTTGTTAAATTAATAATTAAGATGTATTGGTGCCTACTGGCTACTACTAACTTGAAATAATAATATGTTGTGTTTTATATTTCCTATATTGTACAAATCACTCAAAAGGTGTGTTTTGTACTTTCATTTTTATAATATATTATTAAAATTAAAATTAAAATTAAAATTTATATAATATTAAAGTATTTTGATATTGATTTCTACCTAATGTATATAGGTAATAATAATTAGTAATCATCACAGTTGTTGTAGTTTAAAAATTATAGGTTAAAGGTCTCCGTGGCGCATACCATGGGCCATGGTTGACGGTTGTAGCTAGGACTTAGCTGTTTATATTGTTACAGGAGTTCCATGTCATTCTAAATAATTTTTTTAGAGTTAGACATATTTTGTATAAACTCAAAAAGGTATAGGTTACTTCTTATAATAGTTTTCATATTACCTACTTACTTGTAGTAATTTGTATTTTGTATCTTAATTTTATTGTACGATAACATAAGAAGTTTATTTATAATAATTGGTTTTGTAATACTAATTATAATACAATAAAGTACGATCGATATTGAAAAATTAAATCCTAAACAAATATTAAACCAATATTACGTGGTATATTATATTATAAAAGTATCCTAATTATGATTTATCGATAAGAGACAACGGACCCCTTAATTATAGAATTATAAAGGCATTTTACGCGGTAAATCTAGTATATGTTTTGCTATGTATATATCAATATGTCACTATACCAAACGAAAATTATAACTATTTTCGAAATATATGAATAACACGTATAGAAAATTTTACTATAGTATAAAATCATTTCATCGTTAATATTTAATGGTAGTGTTGAATTGTTATTTATTTATTTTTTGTTAGACACGAATATTGATTATATCTATTGATAATTGAAAATATCACATTATCCAATATCCGCGGTAGTATCTACTTTTATAACAATACAAAAAATAAATAAAAATATTTACCATTATATAATAATATAGTAAAGTTGTTGAATTATTGAATTATCATGAATCAAATAATAGGTAACCTATTCAGATTGAAATAAATTTGAATTTAGCAAATGTCTTCTTCTCCTATATTCAGTTTGGTTATATTTATTTCAATAAATTAAATTTGAACACAGAATGGTTTAATTGCTATTAACATAAACATACGGATACGACATAGGTAGATACCTACAAGTATGACATATTATACTGCCTACTAGCTACTTTCATTTTAAGTTAAGTTAATTTAATTTATGGTTTTTAATTTTTCTATTAATTCATTTATGGTTACCTATTACTTAATAGTTGGAGTAAAAATAACTCATTGCATATAAGCTGTTATCTAGATTATGTTTATTCTGTGTTATGTGTAGTATCTATAGATTTTATCAATTTTAATATATTTATATTTTAATTACTTATTTAATTTAAATTAAAAAAATTAGGACAGTTATTTACCATGATGAATATTTTTTAATAAAGGAATAATCCCTATTTTTTTAAAATATTAATAAACCAATAAACGATATCAACTCAGTATGTAATAGGTACCTATATAAAAAGTATGTATGCCCTCCGGGTAATTATTCTTTATGGGATCTCCAAATAAAATGATTGATACCCGAGCCCAATAAAGCTATTATTCACCAATTCTAAAGCTTACAATAAAAGATTATATACCTACCTGCAAGCCATTAATAAGTAATAACGGTAATACTGCTTATATTACCTACAGTCTTTGTTCAACTTCACTTCTATCTAAAATCTCTGCTTCCAAATTATATTATCGTCCTATTATATACGAAAATTGCACCTAAACATATTAGGTACCTATCTGGTTTTAATAAGTAAAATAATTAAGTATATCATAGAACAATTTTTTTTTCAACCCTAAGGTTGGTTTAAAACTCCAATTCTCCATTATAACCGATTACTCGCCTTTTCTTTAAGTTCCTTAAAGGTTTTGACTTTTGCATCCCATTTAATTTTTCCTATATAAGAGTTTCGGGGACGTCCTGCAGTTTTCTTTCCTTCTATCATCCCCTCTAATATTATATTATGCAATTCTTCTGGGTGTCTCAGGGTATGTCCAACAATTTTCCAGAGTCTTGCTCTAATCGTATCTATGAGTGTACCTATTTTTCTCCCACCGTTCTAAGTACTTCTTCATTCGTTTTCTGCTCTATCCAACTTATTCTTTCCATACGCCTCCAACACCACATCTCGAAGGCTTCTAGTTTTTCTTTTCGATATCAGAAACAATTAGGTACAGTAAATTATACATTAAAAGGTTAAAAATGTGTTATTTTCAATCTTTCACATCTCATTTAATGCAAATTTAATAACATTTAATTTATAATCGAGTTTATATGTTGATATATATTTATTTTTAAATGTATTAATATTAAGGTTTACCTACCTATGTAAAATGTCGCCTCGTTTAATCGTAAAAATTATGCCTCGAGTCATACATTAATATTTTTATACCAATAAATTACGCGATTAAACAGCTTACCTTGGAATCGACCACGTACAAGCTTCTATCCGTCTCGTTTGTCGATAATGGTCTTATTCTCACAGCCACCTGAAACAGTATATTAACTTTAAATTTATAAATTATATAGATATGTTTTTTTTTCAATCATCACAATACATTAGTTAGTACGTGATAAAACGTCTGTTAAAATTTAATTTTGGCAGTTCGAGACTCTAGTAAAGGAGTGGACCATTATCGCTCATGAGATGATTTCAGTGAACTAACGAATAACAGGTAAATAAGGGCTAGAATATTATGAGAATATATATCAAGTAATTGGTTTTATTAAACATAACAAGTACGCAAAAGAAACCGGTCGCCAAATAAGAATTTAAAACGTAATTTATTCATATCATTTAATTTATTTGTCACTAAAACGTAGGTAGATACCTAATATGCTATATTATATTATAATATATATAATATATAGGAACATGCCTATATAGTACATTGTATACAGGTATTGTATAATATATATAAGTACAATTTTTGATATCGAATTTTATAATTTACCTATATGTACCGGTTCATATAATATAGTTAATACATTATAATATGACATTTAGTATATCTATTCAGTGGTCAACCATTTACACAATTTATGTTTTTAATGAAAAATGTAATCATCATTGTTTTTAAATTAAATTATTTAGATTACTCCTGCATTATTTTGTATTATATAATTCAATTTATTTATTAAACAGTAATTTAAGACTTATCAATCTAATTGAATATCTAAATCTAGAGATTACCTTATACCTATAATTCAAGTGCGATGAAAAGTTTGAAATGATATATATTTAGGTACTATTTTTAAAGTTGATATTGTTAATATAGTTTCCAGTTTGTACCTGCTATAGGTACTGGAAAAGTGGCAACTATATTAATATTATAATATAATATACTAGGTAGGTAAAGGTTATTTATTTCTTTTATAAATTATCTAACTATTAACACAACATTTACCTAATCTATAGCATCTTTCTGTTATCGAGAAACTTTTTTTTATGAATGGGTATCAAATTTAGTTGGAATTAAAGTCTTTGATCTTATTTAGATTATACATTGGAATAATTTTCTAATAATTACCTCATAAACATAATAACACATTCATTTTATTTATTATTTATTATGTTCATTCGTGTTGAACCACGCAATTTAAAACCATGTAGTTGAAATAAAAAAAAATGTTTTAGCTTATTATAACTTAACTCTTAAGTGGGCGTTACATTTTTAAATAAAATATAGGTACTCCGGTTTTCGTAATAATGGGATTTGTTGAAAAAAACTGGTTGTAACTATCATCAATTTTTTAAAATTCAAAATACTACGTTCGAAAATTTAAATGTAGACAGACTGTATTTGAAACTGTATTTAGTAATTCAGTAAATGTACATTTTATAAGCAACAGATAAAAATTGTACCGTCACCCCGCTCGGAATTATTAGTACTATAAGAGACATGTACATATATTTTTGCTCATATTTTGATTGCAAAAGGATAAAATAAATCCTTAATACTCATACGACATATTATTACAGCGTACACGCCACTCCTTTTATCATCTTATCTCAATATTATAGATACTATTCATATGCAATTCAATACGAAGATTAATTATTAAGTGTATAGTTCACACGCCGAAAACCATTCATAGTTATAGATACATATTAGGTATTCCCATGGCATTTCAAGACATTGATCAAAACTTTGTTTGAGTGTTATCTTCTTGAAGAGTTGAATACCTATATAGTAAGTAGGTATACATGTACTTTGATGGTTTCACATTTAAAAGAAAAAAATATCTATTAATCTTCAAATCTTGCATCAACACAAACCACGATATGTACTATGTATAGTGTTGCGTATTCAATATTTATAGTTTATATTATACTGATTGAAAAAACACGTTCGAGAGACGATGTCGGGAAGTTTAAAGAATTTAAACGAATACGGCGTTTGGTGATTTTGAAGTTGATCGGGAGGGTTATTATTCTTATATACGAGTATAATGAAGAAGCAAATATAATATACTCACTGCTGAGACCACACCTTATTCCGCCCATTTTCATCTCCACAGCACCCATCCACCAAACAAAATATATTACCTATATCAACGAGTCCCCGTTACACGTCTTCTAACGCTATTCTATAAAATAAGTATAAATATAATATATTATACTGCAGTCAAAGTGGAAAAATGGTCACTGGTCAGTGTAAGTGGTCAGTGGTAGGCATATTATAAGTGTACAATGCCCGAGTTGTTAAATACATGTGGATAATCATACACATAAAGACCAATCATAGGCACCGAGGGTACGGGTATGCTACAGCTTCCCCAAAAAAGATTAATCCTGGACCCAGCCCCCAAACGAGTTACTGATGCAAAATATATTTCTTACTAAGAAAATTATTCGTCTGGTTTTTTTTTCAGAAAAAAACCACCATTGTAAAATAAATACATTTCTTGCTACACTCAGTCGCTTAGAATTATAAATCAGAGCTATTAAAACTGGTAAAAAAATCTCAGGGAGAACTATTATTAATGAACAATCTTGAGCGTCCTCTTGTCATCCTATACTATAACTATAATATTATTTTAAAGGTCAAAAGGTAAGACTAAAAAGCTAGTCCTGAATGATATTTTAAAAACCTGGAGCCTTTGGGATCAATGGCCATTCGAATTATATCTTATAATTATATGGGACCAATTCGAATGCATATGGTATATCCACCACAATATATTATATAACTCACGCACCTAGAGGCTAGAACAAGGTCACCATAACTCAAAATGTTTTGTTTGAGAAAAATGGTTTTGAAGTTCAAGTTAGATATTAAAAAGAGTTATTCACTTACATATTTGAAATTAAAAACTTAATTGCTTACAAGCCTTTAAGCATGCTTTAGGTACAATACAACATTTTAAAATATTAAGAGAGAGCAGCATATATTGTATTTAATATTACACTGCAATATCCACAAATTATGAAATGCTCCATAACTCTTAATTTTGCTATTTGGCATTCAACACATAATACAAAAATTAGTTTTATTCGACGTGAGAATGAGATAAATATAATATATTATACGTGTATTGTATGATGCCACAAATCGAAATACGATTACTTGGATAATTTTAAAATTTATAGTGTTACCACTTACCACAAATAAATTAATATGGTTCTTTAGGTTCGAAAATTAGTTAACGATTGAAAAATGCAAGACTGGCACATTCTTTTTCGCCAAAAAAGCTATGGCTTTCTCGTATTATTACATATAAATCTGGTTTTAAACTACCCGGATTTGCAGTAATATCTAAAAATCTAGGGACCCATATACACTTTGAATAGTGACAGTCATCTCGATCTATTATTTATAATATATTATATATATATATATATATAGGAGTACGATAATATTATTATAAAGGTACAGCCGCAATCTACCAACGACCATACACGATGAATTCTATCAGCTATAATAGGAATTACCATGAGTTTTTCTTCGACGGCCGTCGACTCCTCCTGCCGGAATTCCGGCGCGGAAGACACGTTGTACGGCGAGCCGTTGGGGTTCTGCATCTGCACCGTGGACGGCGACATGACTATTACTGTTATAGGTACGTACCTAAATTGACCCAATATTATTATTATTATTTAATTTGTTGCGTCGAATGGCCACGACAGATTCCGCGGATAGTAGTTTGTTCGATAAAAAAAATTTAAATTTTTAAAATCATTATCGAATACACGAAGAAGACCGATTACGTAAACGTCGCATAATATTTACCTATACTATTATAATATCGTTATAATACGACGGCGAGGCGCGTATCGAGTCCCGCCGGCTGCTGCAGGACGTGCAAGCGACGGTTCGCGGGAAAACCGGCGGAGACCGGCCTTTCAGGACGGTGTCATGGGTGCTCATATTGTTATAATATAATTAATGAAATAATAATATAATAATATACTGCGATAACTGCGACGTCGTCACAACGATATTTTAATGATATATTATAATAATAAAATGATGGTTGAGCGCATATTATATAGTCCGCGGTTTTCTGATGTGTGGCGCGGCGGCGTCGTCGGCGTCCAGACTGCAGGCGTATTATAATAGACGCGAAAAGTCGCGACGGTTTTCCGCCTCGCGCCGTATGGTAGCCACTGGCAACTGAGCGATACATACAAATCGCGTTCACCTATATATATATATATATATATAATATGCATTATTATTGTCATTATTATGAGGCGTATTATATGCGTCTTGCGATATTGCGACGTACGTTATTGTTGCGAACCGGACGTGTAAAAACGCACACCGCGAACGTATCACGCATGACCGTGCGGTTACCCTGCAACCCCCGTAATAGTTTTTATCTCATAATATTTTAATGACTATTATTATCGAAGTCTAAACGTCGATTTACAATTGTTTGGCAAATTATTGGCATATTTTTTTAAACAATCAGTTGGAGGACCAACTTCATATCGACATATTATGTATATCATACTGCAGAACAGGCTCCACCAACATTCCTTAAATATTTTCATATTATTAAATCGTTTTAAGCTATATATTGCCGTCATATAGAAAGGAAAAATAGTAATGCTAAGCATGTTATGTTGGAACTTAGAAGACGCACGCGAATCAAAGATTTGGGGTTTTCGATGAATTTTCATTTAATTTTTTTTTTGTGTATGAAAATTAGCCATATAATATACGCGAGGTATGCGTGTGTATACAACACTTGTTTATCTTCATAACTAATGAGTAATTAGTAAAATTCAACATTAAGAAAGTTTTTTTAACCATTTATCGTTAAAACTCCAAGTATTAAATTTTTTTAAGAGTTGTTGGTTATAAGCCGCACAATACTTACATTAAAATATACGGTTTTGCTACGTTGCAGTTCCTCTGGAATTATAACTACGAATGATTATCACCAAATTTTTGGCACCCTGTAAAGTAGATATACTACAACAGACTGCTGCATAGTGCATTTATGTGCATACCTAATACAATATTATAGTATAGGTATATCACTCATACGTGACATGATAAAATAATAAATAAATAATATTATCATTATTATCTATTTAAAATGTACAGCTGATAAAGTGATAACAAATGCGCTTAATCAGATATTTGGAATTGAACTCTGTGGTTTTAAGAAAAATGTTTAATGTATATAATATGTATCTATGTTTTATGTAAAAATAACTAAAGGTGTACGATACCTATTGCGTTATTAAAATATCAACACGAGTTATATGTTATTTAATTAAACGTAAAATGAGGCCGACATATCTTAAAGACATCCTTTTGTTTTTAAAGTGTTACATTGTTTTATAGTTATATACTTATATAGTATAGTTTTATTTTTATTTACAACAACAATAATATTATTACTTTTATTACTACCTATTCAAACGAGTCCGTTCAACTCTGTTCGTATTTTCTATCACATTTTGATTATATTATTATTTATTTTTCATTATACATAGACACAGTACATCACTCCTTTTAAACAATAATGTTATAGGTATATACAGTAATAATACATTAATACTCATTACAAATTACAGTGAGTGTACTCTGAAGCGTTTAAGTATGCATACGCACTACGCAGGTCAAAATTGTTACGGAGCAAACATATCACAACAACGAAAACGGTCTTTATCAAGACCAACAAACATAATTAGACAAAAAAGAACGGTTTGACAAACGAAAACCACACCGAACAAAGGTAAACAACAAGACAACGGTGTGCTTTTCATCTGTCATAACGAAGAACACGGGCCAATGAGCGATGGGCTAGATTGTCGAAGAGGGTATAAATACCGGACATTTTCGACAATCTAGTCAGTCTATTCATTACCTTCAAACCGTCAACAAGTACCTGATCAACAGAAACAAGACGAACAGAAGGACCAGACCAGACCGCAGACCGACTACGCATCCACGGCCGCAGACCGCCGCACGCCAGCAGCGCCACCGCTCCACGGTGAACAGTCTCACGGACCGACTACACGTCGACGGCACGCCGCTCCACGGCGAAGAGTCATACCGGCCGACGGCATATCGACGACGCGCCGCTCCACGGCCGCAGACCGCCGCATTCCAGTTGCGCCACCGCTCCACGGTGAACAGTCTCACGGACCGACTACACATCGACGGCACGCCGCTCCACGGCGAAGAGTCATACCGGCCGACGGCATATCGACGACGCACCGCGCTACGGCAGTATACATCAACCAATCGCCGAGCACCAACCACGTTACCGTTCCACGACGCGGACCAGCATCGATCGGCACCGCAACAACGACGATACGACACGCCGTTCCACAGACTCCGACGTCACATTATTAAACGGCCCTTTTCAGGGCCACCACTCACAATACCTCGACACTTACTCAAGTTGTTCGACCCGAGTTTGGTTCGCTGTCGGAGTACCGCTTAATCAAGCTTGTACCGACGGCGGCCAACTCCCTGGCCCGTTCAATTTTGTACATAAACAATCAATATTATTCATCACTTTGTAATATAGGATCCGGCACTTGCCCGATCATAAACCAAGCGCCCCCGATTGTGTCGACCCACTTATCAAGTCTGGTCGACACAAATCGACGCTTTACGCTATCCCTATTATAATTAAAATATATTTCACATAGCAATAGAGATCACTGATTACCAATAAATCCAGCGTTCTTTATTTCAAGACGCGGATCGCCCAACCGGGTGCTCCGTTTCAACTGGCGCCCAACTAGTGGCTCTCCGACGACACAAGAGACCCATCAAACAATAAAATGAAATCATTACCTGTTAAGAAAAAACGTCCACCGGACAAGTTAATGTTTAATTATATTAAAAGCAAATGATCTAATAAACAATGAAGACTTCGATACCGCAATAAACAAACACGCAACAATCAACTACGAACGAGTAACGACAGTATATAAATTAACAAAGTCACCGTACCGACTAGAAACCGAGGTTTTTAGTCTCAACCAATTGAAGCTCAGCAACTTCCAACCAACCAGGAAGGAGAGTGAGCCACAAAAATAAGTATATATTACCGAACATAGCAATTTATACTCATCAAATTTATACTCATCAATTCAGAATGGCACCAATAATGGCAGTGCACGAACAAGCTAAACGAGAAGCAGCAGAAAAAAGAAGACAACTTCTACAACAGTTAAAAGAGGACAAAGAAAACTTAAATGGATTAGCATCAGTAATTATGGTCAAATTCAAAATCCAAAAATAGACATGAAGGAGAAGGAAAAAGACAGACAAAAAACAGAACACATAACAAATAAAGACAAACATTCATACATCACTCAATGGATCACGGAAGTAAATGCCGCGAGAAAAAAACAGGATACCGATTGGAACCAACCGGTTGACTGGAGAATGGTAACAACCACAACATTACACCAATATATCCCATTCGAAAAACAAAACATCAACATCGCTCAAGCACTGGATTACGTGAAGAATCAACTGGCACAATATGAGCGCCCAATGAAAAAACACAAAACAGGAAAAGAGCCAACACTGATATGCCACATGAGCAATAATCAACTACGAACAGCTATTTACAAAGCAGCCCAGAAACGAACATGTTTGTTCCGAACGGTTGAAAATTTGTGCTAGATGATTCTCACCCCGGCACAAATCTGGGGGGGGTTCTGTTACGGAGCAAACATATCACAACAACGAAAACGGTCTTTATCAAGACCAACAAACATAATTAGACAAAAAAGAACGGTTTGACAAACGAAAACCACACCGAACAAAGGTAAACAACAAGACAACGGTGTGCTTTTCATCTGTCATAACGAAGAACACGGGCCAATGAGCGATGGGCTAGATTGTCGAAGAGGGTATAAATACCGGACATTTTCGACAATCTAGTCGAACACCACTTATGTCCGAACACCACAAGAAATTGACCACAAAATAGATGAACTGACAAATAACATCAAAACACAACTTGAAAACTCAACCTACACCGTCGAACCAAAATTGAATAAATCACACCTTCCCGCCGAAATAACACTTGAAATTGAGACAAAACGACTTCTTAGAAAAATGTGGCAAACTACGAGAGACCCAAAAACGAAGAAACTATACAACGCCCAAATAACATTTGTCAAAAAAACTGTTAACTGACCACAGACAATCAGAATGGGACGCCTTCGTACAAACGTTAAACTTTAAAGATAAATCACTATATAAACTCAACCACTGTCTTCTCCACAAGAAACCTGCGAATACCCCACTACAAACCACGCATGGCCGAAAAATATTCGAAGATGACGAAAAAGCAGAGCTGTTTGCTGACACCATGGAGGATCAATTTACAAACAACCCAGGAGAAAACATACAAGAGGCCGTTGATACGTATACGGAAACCAATCAAGACAAGACACCGTCTCAAGAGTTTATCACGCCAAAACAAATTTCGAACATTATAAACAAACTCCCAAACGGAAAGGCACCGGGACACGACAATATAACCAACAAGGCATTGAAGAACCTTCCAAACAACATACTTACTCAACTAGCTCATATATTCACAGCATGTCTTCGGGTAGCCTACTTTCCAAAAACATGGAAAAGAGCTATCATAATCATGATACCTAAACCGGGAAAAAATCACTCCAAACCAGAAAGCCATCGCCCAATATCGCTATTGCCTACCATGTCCAAATTATTCGAAAAACTAGTACTGAAATCACTACAAAAATGTATCAAACCACGACCAGAACAACATGCCTTTAGAGAGGGACACTCGACGACCACCCAACTTGTACAACTGTTCAAAGATTTAAAAAACAACAAATCAGAAAAGAAATACACAGCTGCAACATTTTTGGACATAGAAAAAGCGTTTGACCGTGTGTGGCACATGGGTCTCATCCACAAACTAAATAAGAATACAGATCTACCAAATTACACCGTAAAACTAATCAAATCTTTCCTGACTGGACGTTCCTTTCAGATAAGAGTAGATGACCAACTATCAACAGAAAGAACCATACAAGCAGGGGTACCACAAGGCTCATGCCTATCACCGATACTATACACGCATTACATAAATGATCTCCCTCTTCATCCTCAAGTAAAAACATCAATATTCGCGGATGACACAATGTTCCATGCAGCCCACAGAAACAAAAGGTATGCGATATCCCATCTGCAAAAACAAATCAATCTAACTCTTGACTGGACCGACAAGTGGAGACTAAAAATAAATGCAGCAAAAACGGAATCAATTATCTTCGGAGGAAAACCAACAAAAACTAAAATAACCGTACGAAACCAAACCACAAACTGGAAAAATAAAGTCAAATACCTTGGGATAACTATCGACTCAAAATTACATATGCATCAACATGTAAAAATCGCAACGCAAAAAGCAAAAGGAGCAAGAACATCCCTCTACCCAATATTAAACAATAAATCTCCTATACCGCTAAAAACAAAAATACAAATATACAACATGTATATAAAACCAATTATCCTATACGGCTCAGTTGCGTGGGCGCCACAAATTAGCAAGTCAAGCCTGAAGAAAATGGAGGTCGTACAAAACACAACATTAAGACAAATAACGGGCATGCACTATCTTACCAGAAATGAAGCTATCCAAAGATCAGCAAACCTAGAACCCCTCTCAGTCACCATAAAACACGCAACCCAGACTTTTTACTACAAGGCCTCAATATCAAGATACCAACACATACAAAAACTATCAGCATAAAATTCAAAAACAAACAGTCCTAAAAACTTAAAGCAATCCAAATCAAACTAGAGAGAAAAGGCAACTGCCTGGAGCTCTAAATAGGCCATAGGCCGTCCTATAAAGGCAAGTCCAATCTAGTCAGTCTATTCATTACCTTCAAACCGTCAACAAGTACCTGATCAACAGAAACAAGACGAACAGAAGGACCAGACCAGACCGCAGACCGACTACGCATCCACGGCCGCAGACCGCCGCACGCCAGCAGCGCCACCGCTCCACGGTGAACAGTCTCACGGACCGACTACACGTCGACGGCACGCCGCTCCACGGCGAAGAGTCATACCGGCCGACGGCATATCGACGACGCGCCGCTCCACGGCCGCAGACCGCCGCATTCCAGTTGCGCCACCGCTCCACGGTGAACAGTCTCACGGACCGACTACACATCGACGGCACGCCGCTCCACGGCGAAGAGTCATACCGGCCGACGGCATATCGACGACGCACCGCGCTACGGCAGTATACATCAACCAATCGCCGAGCACCAACCACGTTACCGTTCCACGACGCGGACCAGCATCGATCGGCACCGCAACAACGACGATACGACACGCCGTTCCACAGACTCCGACGTCACATTATTAAACGGCCCTTTTCAGGGCCACCACTCACAATACCTCGACACTTACTCAAGTTGTTCGACCCGAGTTTGGTTCGCTGTCGGAGTACCGCTTAATCAAGCTTGTACCGACGGCGGCCAACTCCCTGGCCCGTTCAATTTTGTACATAAACAATCAATATTATTCATCACTTTGTAATATAGGATCCGGCACTTGCCCGATCATAAACCAAGCGCCCCCGATTGTGTCGACCCACTTATCAAGTCTGGTCGACACAAATCGACGCTTTACGCTATCCCTATTATAATTAAAATATATTTCACATAGCAATAGAGATCACTGATTACCAATAAATCCAGCGTTCTTTATTTCAAGACGCGGATCGCCCAACCGGGTGCTCCGTTTCAAAATGTATGTTTATTTTATTATAGAATAAAATATTTGGCGAAAAATATAATATAGTTGATGGTAATATTTTCATATTTGTAAATGTTAACCTACTTACGATAAGGTGTACTTGTCAAAAGAACCCTACTCAAAAGTTTGTGGTTTCAGCCTGTATTATATATCGATATATTCGAAACAAACAACGCGTGGTTAATCTATCTATTTTAAGACATAAGTTACCTACCTATATTATACTAAGTCAATATTTGAATAATTATCATACAATTTTAAGAGTAGAAGTCATATTTTTAATTAGGTGTTTGTATTTTTAACCGTTAGGGTTCAATTTTAAAATTATGTTTGTGTATTATACTTGCATTTTTATAATAAAATATTAAAACATATACAACAAATTAAAGTTAAATGTGCAAGCAAAACGTTTTTATAATTTTTTTAATTTGACATTAAGTTATTTTCATGTTGAGTAGGTAGTTGTTAAGATTATTGCAACTTGTTTTCAATACATAATGGTTATTTATGAAACTGTAGATGTTATAATTATTAATACTTAGCCACCTAGGTATTAAAAAAAATTATAACGACTTGCGTGATGTTATATATTATATTCGTTTGCATTGATTATTATAATTAGCATGACAAGTTATTCCGGTTTCGACGGTAAACGTCTGATATTCCGATCAAAAATGTATAATGATTAATAACAATCTCAATTTTTAAATAAAATTAGTAGGTAATATTATCGTCTTTAAGTTATAATATATTATAGATGTTATAAACATAATGTAAAACTACTTTTAATATTGTTTATAATATTCAATATCCTCATTATTAAAAAAAAATTGAGATAGATACATGTAAAAATTGGGCAGTTTCAACAGCGTTTTGAATATTTTTATACCCATGAGAATGAGTTATAAATTTTATAAGCTAATTTGTAAGGTAGTAACTCACTTACCAATTATATTATTATTTTTTTTTTCTGTACACAATTTTTAATTCGATGATTCTTATCAAAGGATATATTGTCATACACAATTATATTGTAAAAAGTTAAAAATGAAAAAATATTTTTTTTTAATCTTATAATTATACTGTATGATGTAAAGACTATTAATATTTTGTTGGTATAAAGGTTAAATTGTTGCTTTTGTTTATTACAAAAATAACTTTTTCCTTTCAATATTAGATTTTAAATATTGTACCTGTGTGTATTATCTTGTATGCATACTATGTACATGCTATGGATTTTTAAGAGCAGCAGCAAAAAAACATCGTCAAAAGTAAAAATGAATTTATTCACTTTTGGTCATTTAAACTTCTTATTGTAGAGGGTCATTTTTGTGGTAAAATCTAAAGAATTCAAAATAATTAACAATTCGTATAACCATACGTCCTCACGAAATTTTCTACGGTTACCTAAAAAATATTGTAAATATCGCAGTAGAAATGTGGAATATAGGCAATATAGGTATGGAGGTATGGCTATATTTATTTACACGTCAATGAACATTCCCTGATAATATTATCAAGAGTGTATTCTTATTATACTAAATAAATAAATAAATATAATTTATATTATTGCTATATTTTTTTTAGATGATAATATTTCCTAACATAATTAATCTCTTATACCTACATATTGATTATTTTTACTAGTAAAAGTAATTACAAAAACCGATATAACTATATGTAAGCACAATTATTATAAATAATAAAACAAAATATTATGTAGTTCAAAATACAAAAATTTGATACTATGTACTATCATATCTATTTTTTTCAATTTAACGAGAGTGTAATATATTGTTATTTTTGACTGGATTAGTGCAGTGGATGCTATTATGATGACTATTTTAATTTTTAACAATAAAATAAGTCACATCGGCCACTCTCCCCATTTAAAAATATTGAAATGTTAGTTTTCTATCCTTCAGTACAGTGGTTCTTAACCTCTGGTCCGAGCCCCCCCCCCCCTACAGGGGTCCGTGACACTCGACTCAGGGGTCTGCAACGCTATCGTCTTTCTAGTCGTAGACACACACAAAAAGTGCATTATACGTGTTTGTATAATCGTATATAAATAGTAAATACTCTAATTAATATATATTATACTATGTAGCATACATAAAATTAATTAAGGTTCTGCAAGATTTAATACCATGTCCCAGTACTTATACGTATCTCTGCGAAAAAGCTTTTTATTCTATATAGGGTACATTAAGAATAAGTATAGAATAAACCGGTTGCAAAATATAGATTCCGATCTCCGGTGGTTAAGACTATCCAGCATCGAGCCTGAAATATCGAAATTTGCAGCAGAACTACAACATAATCAGCCTTCTCGAAAATAAATGTTTTATTGTTTTATTAAAGATAAGATATTTTTGTATAGCTTATAATGAAAAAGCAACTTTTGTGTAATAAACGTGCACATTTAATTACACTGTGTGAAAAAAATTGGTTACTAAAATAATAATTTTTTTGCTCATAAGCACGGAGTCTGTGCCTTTCAAGATTATTTTTACATGGGTTCTAGTGCAAAAAAAGGTTAAGAACCGCTACAGTTTAGTCCATCATTCGTACGAATTTGTACGCAATGTTTCAAAATGTGTAAGACTAAAGAGTCCCAGATTTATCAAAAACCCTCTGGGAGGAGGCTGGAGTGATGACATACCAGGATGATCTGAATAGGAAATCTGAAATGTTTAATTTTTTTAAAATGGGGTTGCTGGTGTGACGCTTCCAGGTGAGTCTATAACACACTTAGGTAATAAAATCTGTTATCAGTTGGTTAGCGTTGACCGACATTTTAACGGAAATTGTAAGAACAGCCTTTATTTCGTTCGGGCAGCTCGGCGCGGAGTTAGAATAACCGCGAAAAGTTCAAAAAGCATTTCGATTACCTACCTAAATATAAAAATATATAAACGCAAGACGACCAAAACTTAAAATATTTTTTATATGTATAATAAACATAAAAAAAATTATAATGAATTATAACAGTTACAAGTTACCGGTGCAGCAAGGGAAAAATTCTACTTGGGCGTTGACGCGTTGTCGAGTATAGAGTAGTGGACAAAATACGGAGTCTGCGGATAGATAGAGAAAAAAAAATGAAAAATACGCGTAGTCCACAACCTTCCACGGGCTCAAGGTTAATGTCTCGAAGTCTCCACCCAAAAACCGGTTTCGCCAGCAACGCACGAGCATTGTCCGCCCGCAGAGCTTTTATACGTATACGCACACAATATAATAATAATATAATATGTGAAAAAATAATAATAATAATATGTGAAAAAGAGTCAAACGAAAAAAATAAAAAATAAAATAAAAATGAGATGGAAAAAAATGATCACAGTATACGCGGATGCCTCCATACGACACAATATAATAATATACAGCTCGATGTATTCAACTTATATACATTATACATGATATAATATTATATGTATATACATATAATGTGTTGATTGTGCATATACGAGATTTTTGCAGAAGATCTATATAATGTTATACACACACACATATATGTATAGGTACTATTATATTAAACATTGACACCCGGTCGTTCAACCTATACCCGCCGCGGTGAAGTCTGCTGCAGGTGTTCGTATCGAATTAGGTACCTAAACTTAATTAAGTACTATACAATGCCTCTCCATAAAGCCTGTATCCCGTCTCCACGGGAAATCTTGTTCCGGAGGTGCACGAGCGCTCGGGATTTCACCGATCCCGCCAGATCTTACTTACGATTTAGTGTAAAATGTAGATACACCGATTGCGCCAGTGGGTACAGGTAGTTTTTGTACTGCGACTGATATTGACGCCGCCAATTTTAATTCGAAAGTACGAGGAAAATATACACTTCACGACTAAAAATTAGAAATAGTAAATTCTGAGATCGTTTTTAATTGACATAGACATTAGATACTATATTAGTTTAAGTATACCACTTAAAAGATAAAACTGATATTTTTTTTAAATTTTGAAAAAAAATATACATTTTATATATCCATTATTATTTATATATTTGTATAGTGTTATAATATTATATATTTTATTATTATTTATCATAGTATTATTACATTTTGATTTTAATATTTAAATGAGCGGTACTTGATCTATTATTTTGTATAGATTATTATTATATCATTTTTATACTATAATTCATGTAAGTTTTGGTTATACCATGTCTAATTTTTATGTAGGTAGGTACCTAGACGTGAGAAATTGGTTACAAACATTTAATCCTAAACTTGATATTCTATATTTCCATCATAATAGTTTCCTATAATATGGCGTAAATAGAAATTAACAATTATATTATTCTATTAAAACATATTATCTAAAAAAAAATATGGTATCTAATCGAATATATTTTCAATTAACTAATTAAATTAAGGAGTAACCTGAATGGTCAAGGGGAAAAATCGGTAAACGTCAAAATCGATAGAAATGGTTTTAAAACTATACCCGTACTGGTGGAAGTCTATAAAGTCGGAATCGATGCTAGGTATATTGGTAATTGGCGGAATCGATGAATCGCGTATATGAAATGTCTGCCAGCGGTTATACGGCTCAACAAAGCCTACAAAGGATAACCCAAAATATATATTCAATTATGTGATAAGACATTGCACGACGCAATTTGTTTTTCGGCGATCCACACAGCCCTCGCAAATTGCAATACAATATTGGAGTCTAGCCAAACCCGCGTTGTACATAATATTATGTTGTTTTAATTTATAATATACAGAATAGGACAGGTGTTACATGTTTAGCCTTATAAGTGTATTCGCGGGCTATTATATGTGACAGTATACTGTTATAGGTTGACATTATATACTTGTTCTAATCTGTAATTCTGTATATACTCACTGTACAGCAGTACCTAATAAATTAAGTACCTAGTAGATAAACCATTGTCTGCCGGTACCTACATAATAATATGAGCTCGTTACAATCCTATAAGTTACCCAGTAGGTATCTATTATCTATAAAGTATTTTGCTGAAAATGCATTATCAATGTGTTATCAGGGCACTTGAGTCTTTTCATATTAAGACGTTCAATGGTTTAACTGCAGTTTGAGTTTCAAAATAGCTGATAATCTATTTCTTCAATGAACTTAAATAATAGCTATAGTACCTATAGCAAATCCAATCGTATTAAACGATTCGATACCAATTTCCATATTATAATTATTTGTTTTTGTGGCTTGGTGTGGCTCGGTCCGTACACTCAACTGTTTAAATGCTCTGAGTGTACGCATCGGCCGGTATGCTAGCTCCCGGATGGGTGACCACCCGGGATTTTTAGCTACAAATCCTCGCTACACATATACAAACGTGTTTCGACCAACCGTTCCTAACAAACAGCTAATAGCTTAAGCTCAATAAAAAAAAATGTATTTGTTTGGATGAACGACTTCTTCAACAACTATAACGCATCTTCTGGAATCTATTAGGTATATGTTGTATACATTATATACAAATACAATTATATGCGTAATCCAGTTATTGTAAATACGTAGATACAGACACAGACTACAACAATGAAATTGTATTGTAGAATATCGATGCACATTGTCAGACTAGACTATGTGAAAAATGTAATAAAAACTCGTTATTTCTAATAATAAATAAATAAAAACTATACGACTGATTATGTTTAAAAAAAATATGTACCTACCTAACCAAGTAGGTACAGGTGGTCTTTTCTTGAGGAATATATCTCTCTCGTAGTCTCGTAGACAGTCTTATTTCTCTAATAATTACTCCAATATTATATATTATATTGATTAACAGTTTATTTTATACTATATATAAGTTGTAATGTAATTACAACGTTATTTTTGAAAAAAAACATACATTTTTGTTTATATATAATTTTTAGTAGTTATCAAGGTTTTTGGATTTTTTTTGGTATATCTAGGGTGACCAGGGCAAAGTTAATATGCTTAGTTTAGAAGCACAAAATAACATTAAAAAGTGTGTTTAAACTTAATTCAATAATAAAAAAATATTTAGTAACAATTCTAATTTATGAACCTTCAACTTGGAATCCACAATAATATAACTCTTAATTAGCAAAAAAAAAAAAAATTATTCACCTTGTTGAGTTGAATTTACAGTAAAGTGAAAAAAATTAATTATTTATATAAAAATAATAATTATAACATTTGAGCTATTTAAACTTACTACTTAGTTATGTAAAGTGTAAGCAAAGTTAAAATAAAATAATATGTATTACTTGATTTTCAATAAAATAAAAAATTTTACCCTTTATAAACAATGATTTGTATAATATAATTCTTTTTATGGCTTTAAACAAATTAAAAATAACTTTATATAGTTATGAACAATTTTTAAATAGTAACGATTTATATAAATAATCAGAACTCATATTCATCTACCCTGTTTATATAGCCAGGTTAAGTTTTTTTCTTTACTAAATTTGATAATTTGAACTACAGGTGATTAAAGACAAAAATATATGCACAGGAATAAAGGTAGATACTCTTCTTATTATAATTTATAAGCATTAAAATTAACATAATTAAAAATTAATTTTCAACTTCATTATTTTTTTTCAAAATCATCAACAAAATGGAAAATGATTATTATATGTTATTACCACTAGTTACCATTATACAATTAGTTGCCCGCTAAAGCCAAAGTACACTACTACCGATTTGTTTTTACAATATTCGAAATTCTTAAACAAATAATGAGTTGTAAACAAATAACGTTATTCACTTTGTCTGGGGTATCCGATTTGCCCAGATTTCCCCTATATTAGGTTCTTCTAAATTGAAAACTTGAATTGCCAAAAAATTTTAAATATTGAAATATATAATCGAGTGTGATTAGTAATTTATATAATAGATAGTAAGATATGCCTACATACTTGATATAGGTACAACAGTTTTACCTATTACTTAATACTTTGTATAAGAACCTGAACAATTCATATAGAATAAAATAAACTTAAATAGGTAGTTAAACCGTAAACCGATATCATTAATAACGAGGAATCGTAGTTAAAAGTTATCATAAATACGAGGGTGTTTGACATGAACATGTTTGCAAACTCATTATGGCGCGAATGAGCCATTTAAACGCAAATTTGTGGTTTGGAGATTTGGACCGTCCTAAAAATAAAATGACGATAATAATTGTGTTATACCTAGTCAGTCTAGTCCTGTACTCCTGTGAATTGTAATACTTATATTAATACGAATTTTCCACAAAAAAAAAAAAACATTAAAACCCAATCTAATACTTTTGACTCAAAATATAAAAATATAATTATAACTAAACTCTTATAGTTAGCCGACCACCTAATGATCAGAACAGAAAACAAAAACGCCCACAGGCGCGTATTTGTTTCAATAGCGAATTCCAATTACGTGTGTTCCGGGGTTACATTGCGGTGGCGTAGCTTAGTTTAAACTGTATCAACATAATAATGTGTAATAATAAGATTCAAAATATATAATGGCCAATGGGTGTATTATTTACTCTATCGCAATATATATAGATATGTTTATATGATAATATGTATCTCGTTTCAATGTTAATGTCGTAATGATTGGTTCAAGGTTACGACCAGGCATGTCCGCACCTGGGTGGAGTACCTACCGCGAGAGCAACCACCTCCCCTGCACTCGGTACCCGAAGACACGTTAGTATAAAAGACTCTGCGTCGACTGGCAACAGCATCAAATCATCTGCAGCAGACGGTCCAGGCTAACTGTGCGATATCAAATAATTTTTTTACGTTTTTGCTCGAGCAATCTCAAAACACACCAGAAACATGAAGGTAAGCGTTTTCTGACATTGTCATAATAATTTTCAGTAGGTAGTATTAAGTATTAGGTTCGGTTAATTGTATGTATATAACGAGATGACTTGTTGTGTGTGTAAGTAGGTACAACTTTGGAACTTCAAAGTGTAAAGTATTTAAACATTGATTGGTTTTTGAGTGATTTAATGTTTCGATCGTGGCGGACTTCACATAATTATATTATATAGCTATAATTATTTAATACATCGATTTCCTTTCTTCCGTCTTCGTATAAGTCATCGTTGACTTTCAACTGGCCGTTGTATCAGCTCGTGTGAATTATGATGGACGAAATTTGAACTGAGTTACTTTAATAGTTAAATCTATAAACATCATACTCGCAAAATAGTGAAACTTACAGCCACAGGATAATATATTTACCAAAACTAGTTAAATATATTCATCCGATTATCCGAATCGCTGTGTTACGAATAGACTAGGTAATAGGCATACCACTTACCTAGAGAAGACTCTATGTATGTATAGGAGAGACTCAGAAAGTCTTATCAGGTAATACACCGTAATATATTATAACAATAAACAAATTACTTTAAACTGTGTATATAGAAAGGGTGTGGGGTGGTGAAGCCTACCACTTAACTATAATTTTTGACTCGAAAACATATTGGGCAAAAGTGCTACTGGCAATATATTTACGCTCATAATATGATTATATCTATACATTTTTGTTATTGTCATGTTAATAAATAATAACAAATTGTTCAATATGGGTAATAATAATATGCCATCCGGTCTACAGGTTATTATGGTAACGCTGTTGTTGGCCGCCGTCGCCCTGTCCGCCGCCGAAGCCGGAGCAATCAACTACTACCACTCTGCCCCAGCATTAGTACCGGCACCAGCATACTACGCCGCCCCGGCACCAGCTTTGGTCAGGACCCCGAGCTTGGACAGCGCCGTGGTGCACTCTGAACGCGTCGGAGGCAACTTCGCGTACAGCTCCGTCGAGGGACACGCGTACACCGCCCTCTCGCCGGTCGTACACCCTGCCCCAGTGGCCATCGCCTACAAGGCCCAGCCACTCGTCGCCCCGTACCCCGTCGTCCACGCCGCCCCGTACCCAGCCGTCTACGCTCCGGCCAAGTCCTTCTACTACGCTCACTAACCTGCACCACCGACAATGACAACGACGACGAGGCCCACGCTCAGTGTTTGATCTAGTTTCCTTTTTTCTCCCCATAAAAACACCGACGCAGCGTACAGACCATTATAGCGCGAATGTATATTATTATAATAATAATTTTCATTTCGTGTTTATAATGTCGGTACGTGATATAATAATTAATAATATTCCTTTTATTATTATTACTATGCGTCGGTACATCCATCTCACCTATATAATATATACGCGTGACTTAAAATTTACTTCCCCTCCCCCAACCTCCTAACCAACGTACACGGATGCGTTTAATATTATTGTACTTTTTTTTCAATATTGCCGAATAAAAAATATTTCTGATTTGAAAAAATGCTGTTATTTTATATTTTTTATTGACGTCGTGTACTATGACAAAAAACAGGTATCCTATTATCAATATTTGTACCCTATAATAAAGTAAAAGCACTAGTAAGTGGAAGTCGATTCATGAATAACTAAACTTATATTATATTGTTTTAGTCATAACGTACTAATATTATAGTATATTAATAATACAATTCAAATTTTAATATGAAAAGTAGGAATTCACTATAACTTTATAATTATTGTTTTCAATTCGACTATCATATTATGATATAAATACAGATTAATAATGCTTAGATTTTCAACTTCAGTATCTTGTTCGATTGGAAACTGAATATCTTTGGTGCATTGGAGAGGTCAAACTTTTAAGTTCCCAGTAATTTTCAAAAGCGTCAAGAAAAACAATAGAAAAATTAAGGAAAAACTGGAATTTTTACGCATAATCGATTTTCACAAAATTTAATTTGGTTTTTGGTGTAACTTTAAAACAAATGACCGTAGATACATGAAATTTTCACTGGTAGTTTATATTTGCATTTTCTATACCCGATAACATTTTCAAAATATTTTGAGTTAAGAATTCGTAAAAATTTTTATTTTTAAATGTAATACAAGATCCTTATAAGATTATCTACCTTTATCAAAAGAAAAATGTCTATAAGAAAGTCAAATTAAATTTTTATAAGCGTTTGAAATTACAATTTTTACAACATTGGATATTCACTCGATTTCTTATGTAGCGATTTCCTTATTTTGTTGTAATTCAAAAATGAATAGCTGTAGATACATGGAAATTTCACTAAATGTTATACTAGCAGTTCCTATACACCATACAATTTTGAAAATATTTTTACACTTTTTGAGCTGTTTACGGACATTTACGGTTTTCAATTTTTTTTAGTTTTTTATTTCTATAAATATCAATAAAGTTTATTTTATTCAGTTTATTATTATAGTAATTTTATAGATTCCACGTAAGTAGTTAATTCTGTAACCAAAAAATCTAAAAAATACATAGACACAGTTTATTTTTATAGTAATTTTAGGTTCAAATTTAGACGAAATTACATAATGAAAAACCTAGAATAACTATTTTAGTTTTTTTGTTGTGATCGTATAATATTATTCGTGGGTACTTGAAACTTCTAAAGTACACTATTATATATATATGATAGTTTCAGGGTTTGTTGTTGATGTATAACGCGTTATAAGTACCTGATGGATATTGTGATATGATTAATTTGGAATTTTTTATAGGTACTTATAATAGGTTATTTTTTTTTAATACCATAGATAATTATATAATATGTCTTATACCTAGACTGACATACCGTCTCCGCTCAGAAACGTTTTTCTTATACAATGATATTAATCATTGAATTACAATTTAATACCATCCATTATACAGTGACCCACTTGTAACCTACTGTACAGCAGAGCCCCTTTTTTTTGATTTAAAATCAGATGTGCCCAAAATAAATACAAATGTAAACTGTAAAGCAACTATTTATAGGATTTTTGAAAAAAAAATCTTAATTTAAGTTCTTTTAGAATAGAAAATTAAAAATTGACTTCCTAAAAAGCCTAAATATTTTGTCAAAGAGTTCATACATACATAAAAATTTAAATCGGACATTCCGAAGTATGTGGAATTTACCACCGCTTATTGGTCTAAAACGTATGCAAATTACATGTGCTGCGATTCCCTAAATATAATTTTTAGAGTTTTTGGTTACAATATAAATTACTTAAAAAAATATTTTTTTAATCATACCATATATACTGGCTTATTATACAAAAAAAACTAATTTACATTTTTGGTGAAAATGGTTGGTACCTATTTGTTTTTGAATTACAACAAAATAAGAAGATCGTTCCATCTATAATGTTGAGCAAATCTAATTTCAAACCCTCATAAAAAATTAATTTGACTTTTCGGTAAATATACTTTTTTTGTTAAAGGAAAAAACGTATGAAGTAAAACGTAATAACAATTTTTATGAATTTTAACAACTGAAATAGGCAATTTTTAATTTTAGCTTTTGGTTTTTGGAGACCCTTAGAGACCACTGTTTGTGTTTATGAACATCTTGCACATACAATTGTTGCGAGACTCCTGGATCAGTATCCAAACTGCAGTTATATATTATAAGACCGTATAGTTTTGCCTAAATTAGTAATTTAAGGAGTTGTTTGATTAAAAATCAACAGAACAAAATATGACGTATTATACATATATGTATGTACAGTTGTATATAAAATAAGTTATTATCTATTAATATTTATTATTTACCTTAAGGGGATTCGATACCGTGATTTTCTGTTTTTGTCTAACACACGCGCGACATAGTATTTTAGATGTGTTTTTTGCCAAACATACCAATTGATCTAATGAAGCGATACGAATTCTGAAAACAGATTTGAATTTGTCGTCAAGTCTACTTGAAATCGACTTTCCCACATTTTTGATATTATCCCCTAAATTTTTTTAAATGTCATATTCAAAAAGAGTATTTAAAAATTCTGTTATTTCAATTTTTGGAGAAGTTTAAATCAAAAAATCAAAAATGTGGGAAAGTCGATTTCAAGTAGACTTGACGACAAATTAAAATCTGTTTTCAGAAATCTTATCGCTTCAATAGATCAATTGGAATGTTTGGCAAAAAACACGTCTAAAATACTATGTCACGCGTGTGTTAGACAAAAACAGAAAATCACGGTATCGAATCCCCTTAAGGGGCTTCGCCACTGCAGTCAATTTTAGCTGAAATTAATTAAAGTATTGACAAAATTAAAGTTAGTTAACGTTGTCCGATTTTGATACTGAAAAAAAAATTTAAACTCACCAGAAAATTGTTTATAGATCCTATGAATCACTTAGTAAAAACTAAATTTTATATAATTGAAAACTTGAAAATATGAACTTTTTCGAATCATAATTAAAATTAAAATTAATATCAAAAACAGAAAATGTTTCTTACGATCTACAGAAATTTTTCTGCTGAATTCAAATACTTTTTCATAATAAAAATCAGACCACGTTAACTAACTTTAATTTTGTCAAAACAAATGTATGTTTTTGTAAAATTCGTGAAGTGAAATTGATATGATTATCGAGTTATTGACATGTGCATGCGCGTACGAGAGAGGATACCCGCATTTAATTTCACTCGCACCCTAATAATCATTTACAACTAACTCATAGATCCCGGGCGGCTTTGACAAGATTAGAAATTGCCTAAATGTTGCCCCTTAAATAATGACAGTAGCGACTAGCGAGGCCCCTTAAGGCGGCTCTTAGTGACTATTGTTTAAGGAGCAACATTTAGGCAATTATTGTTCCTCTATTTTGGTTATATTACTATTATTCAGAAAATAAAAAACCTGGTTTCATAGAATGTTAACTAATTTAGTATTTTTAAAAGGTCATCCCTTTTTAGAAAACTTTTAACTAATTTTGGACGTTTATTTGTTTAAAAATGATATTGTAATTGTTTGTATGTAGTATGTACATATTATTATTAAAATTGTATATTTCTCCTTTCATGTTTATGACGTTGATAAAATTTGTAATTTTTTTCATATTATGGCAAATAGATACCATCATATCAAAAGATTTAAATTTAGAAACCTTAAATCTTAATAAATATCTTCAATCTTGAAATCTACTTTAAAAATTACTATGATAATTTCAGAATTTGGATATGTTCAACTCTAATATTCTATTACATAATATTTACATTTCATACCTGTATTTTGCCATCCATAGATCCAAGGTACCTATAAGCATAGTTGCCTATTGCTTATATTCAATAAATCTATAAAATTTAAATTAATTCCTTCTTTTCATATTAAAATTTGAATTTGATATAAATTATTAATATACTATAATATTAGTACGGTAGGACTAAAACAATGTAATATAAGTTTAGTTATTCATGAATCGACTTCCACTTACTAGTGCTTTTACTTTATTATAGGGTACAAATATTGATAATAGGATACCTGTTTTTTGTCATAGTACACGACGTCAATAAAAAATATAAAATAACAGCATTTTTTCAAATCAGAAATATTTTTTATTCGGCAATATTGAAAAAAAAAGTACAATAATATTAAACGCATCCGTGTACGTTGGTTAGGAGGTTGGGGGAGGGGAAGTAAATTTTAAGTCACGCGTATATATTATATAGGTGAGATGGATGTACCGACGCATAGTAATAATAATAAAAGGAATATTATTAATTATTATATCACGTACCGACATTATAAACACGAAATGAAAATTATTATTATAATAATATACATTCGCGCTATAATGGTCTGTACGCTGCGTCGGTGTTTTTATGGGGAGAAAAAAGGAAACTAGATCAAACACTGAGCGTGGGCCTCGTCGTCGTTGTCATTGTCGGTGGTGCAGGTTAGTGAGCGTAGTAGAAGGACTTGGCCGGAGCGTAGACGGCTGGGTACGGGGCGGCGTGGACGACGGGGTACGGGGCGACGAGTGGCTGGGCCTTGTAGGCGATGGCCACTGGGGCAGGGTGTACGACCGGCGAGAGGGCGGTGTACGCGTGTCCCTCGACGGAGCTGTACGCGAAGTTGCCTCCGACGCGTTCAGAGTGCACCACGGCGCTGTCCAAGCT